CGTGTTTGCCCACTTCGCAGTGCTGCGCCTGTCTTCCATTGACTCTTGTCTTGACAATTGGAGACGGTCTTAACGTGATACCAGTTGCACTGTCGCGAGTCATTGCTTAGCCCCTCCGAGCCAGCTATAGCTTCAAGCTGCTCAACCTTGGTGGGCTCCCAACAGCCGCTCACCGTCCCGTGCAACCGAGCGCATCCACCATGCTCAACGCCCGGCTTCTCCTGAAGTCATGATCGCGGGCGCATCAACTGGTGTTCGCGGCAGTCAAGTTCAACATCGCTGGCTTTATTGAGCCGGCAGCGCCCCTCCTTTTAACCCGTTCCTGCCTGATCCAGGTGCCGCAGCACGCCCTGCCCAGCCCTTCCTTTCGTTTCTTTGTTGAGTCGATACGAGACCATACGCTAGCATATGCTATGCTATTCTTGTAAATACGAACTTGCCCATACCCGCAAAAAGGTACCTTGGGAGCCTCGGACACGCGGCTACCACACACACACGAGTATACACACACACCACACGCACACACACATAGTAGAGGCAGCTGGCCAGGCAGCTCAGCCATGCTCTCCCATCTGCGGTTCCACCGAAGAGGGGGGCCGACTACAAACCCCCCAGGACCCGACTATGACAGCCAGTACTCCTCTGACCACGACAGATACAACGACCATATCCCCCTCCTCGCCACTCCCCAAAGCAACTCGGTTGCTTCTGCCTCAAGCAGGGGCCCGCCCTTGCTCAACAACTTCGACACAACGGCTCCCTCACAACGAGATGGAGCTGGGTCCTCCGTCCGATCCTCGCTACCGCCTATGCTACCCCCCATTGCCCGAGTAGCTTCTCCAGATGGTGACCGAGAGTCCATCGAGAAAAAGCGCAGCGATGCTGCCGGCTTGGTGACCTCGAAAGAGAACTGGTCCTCGCCCCAAACCCAGCAGCGCTCTCAGCCAAGCAACATGATGGAATCCGGCTTCATTGGCGGCGTGGCTCTCGAAAATTATCGCCGGGGCCTAAAGGCTCAAGCTGACAGTCGTCATGATTCTGCGCCATACCAAGCCCCGTCGACGACCGAACGTCGGCGGCCAATGCCCGCTCCAATTGATACCAATGTTCAGCCAGGAGCTTATGTGTCTGGGCAACCCGTCTTCGTTGGCGGGCATTCTCTGCATTCGAATCCAGCTTCAACAGCAACAGGACGACGCGGCCCCAACATGAGGCTTCCTGCTGATTATTCCACGCTTCCACCGAACCCGATGAACCTCGAACCCCAAAAGACCAAGAAATCACTTCCGTTCTTAAAAAATCCCATGTCGACTCTTTTGATGAGAAGGAAGAACAGCCAGCATGCTCCAGACTTCTTACCCCAGCCGATGGGTGGTGATTCCGACGAGCCAATGTACGATCCGCGGATCAGGGGAACTCGAGTTCATGATTTCAGCGCCCCTAGACGACCGCCTGTGCAGTCCAAACCCCCTCAGAATGGTCAGGTAAGGAACGATGCTCAGCAGCCTGCAGCATTGCCGGAACAAAGCAACAGCCAGACTGTAATACCTTTGCCTCATCAACCCCAGCCCCAGCGTGCCGCCTCATCAGCGGTCGCACGACCAAGCTCTACACATGGCCGTATCCCTTCACCTGCGGGATCTCAAAAGCCCAGGGCATCACGCATGAGTGACGGCTCAATAGTATCACCTCTTCGAGCTGTCAATTCCACCAGCACCACACGTTCAGGCAACCCCTCGCTAGCGTCCGACATGTCCAATAAGGACCGACTCTCTATGTTGCCACGGCACATGAAGAGCACTTCTTCCCGATTTAGTTTTGATATGATTGGTGCCGCAAATGCCGAGAAGTTGTTGGAGGAGAGACACCGACAACGAGAAGCTGAGAGGAAGATTGCGCAGGAGGAAGAACCTCAACCTAGAGACTCCCATGACTCACGATATGACGACTTTGACGATGATTCGTTCGACTATGACGCGATGATGGACGATGACGGGTTGGAGGAAAGGATTCCCGGAGTGAATGCAGACTACGACGAAGAAGACTATTATCTTGAGGAGGATGTAGATCTTGATGATCCCGACAATGATCAGGAGAATTTTGCAGGGTTTACCTTTCAAAGGTCGGCCGATTCCTCGCTCATGCCAACACCCAACCCAGCGATGGCAACAACCCCCCGCGACGAAGAGGGCCAAGTTATTGGTTTTGCGGCATCCCGAGATATCCCACAGGCTCTCTTTAGCGAGGACGGCGAGAATCAACTGGATCCTAACTTGTTGTCCCCACCATCCGGCTTAGGTATCCAAAGCCCTGGTGACCAGCCGCTCTCAGGTTTTGGATCCGATGATCTGGCCCAGGTGCTAGCAGCAGAGGCGAAACGGAAGCTTGAACTGGATCAGTATTTCAATGAAGGAGCGGTGGGATTTGAAGACGAGTTTGCCGAGGATCTTGCATCCATAGCTGAAGAGGATGACGCTCCATTTGATGAATCTATCTTTGATAGGAATGATACGGATCAATATGGCCGGCCTATAGCCGGGGCGTTTGCAAAGGCCCAGGCGGAGGCTCAAGCTGAGATGCAATCCCAGACTCCACAGCAGGAAGAGGAGGGCCATCCTCCCGAACGACACGGATCTGATATGAGCTCACGATACTCAGGGCAATCTGGGATATCGCGCTCCACAGCCCACACGTCGCTGAGTACTGATGCTGCGCGCCAACGGAAGACTGAGAAAGAAGAAACCGCCCAGCCAGGCCCAGAAACCGCACCAAACTCATTCGCCCAAGATCAAGGTTCGATGGAAGCATACCAAGCCGCCCTGGCTGCAGCAGCCCATAAGGCTGCAGCTTCCGGAAAGTTCCAGTGGGGCGCAGCTCCAACAGGCGAAGACGAAGAACAAGATGAAGCAGATGGCTTTTCCGGGCACGACGGGTCACCTATCGCTGAGAGCGTTGGTAGCAACGATGATTACGGGTTCTCATCTTATGAGAACATGGATGATTTTGACCTCGACGATGATGCCATCATTGCCGAGGCCAATGCGAGCGCACTAGCCAATGATTCCGATGGATGGTATGGCCAAGAATTCGGATTTTACTCGGCTCCTTCGAGCCAACACTATGGCTCCAGCTCTTCGAATGGCATGCAGTATGAGTATGCCAACGGAGGATTCTTTGGCCCCAAGGGAATGAGTGGGATAGACAGATCAATGAGTGGTCGTGTTGTCTCTCGAGAACCCAACCTGACTCCAATCACCGAACGCTCGGAATATTCCAACCGCAACTCCGTCATGAGCATGGCCATGCCTGGTCACGGCTTCGCCACCCCTGGTCAAAGCCCCGGACTAGCGCAACTGGCTATGATGGTGGACCGTGGCGACGATATGTCCCTCTCTGCACTTCTCAGACTGCGGTCGAAGGCCTGGGGTGGTTCACAGGTTAGCCTTGCCTCTAGCAAGGACGGGTCTCCCAAGTCAGAAAGGGGCGATCTGCCATTTTCGTCGTGGGCTGGCAATTCTGGTGGTTATGCTGGTGCCAATGGCTGGCATGCCCGGAAGAACTCAGTTGTGTCCGCAACAGCGCCAGAGTCTGAGCCAGGAAGCATTGCAGGTAGTCCGACCATTACGATGAGCCTCCCGAACCTTACCCCTACGGCTATGGAACCGCCACCTTCACTACTGGGCACAAGGGAATCAAGGCTATCTGCCATGTCCGAACCTGGCAAACACCAGGAGACGCCAACGCTCTCCAACAATAAACGCATTTCCCTTTCAGCTGTATCAGGCATGAACGCGGCTGATTGGACAAGGGGCCAGGAGCCAACTAGCCCAAGTATTCCTACGCCGAGGCCCGGTCATCAACACCGACACTCTACTGATAGCGTTTCGTACATAAAAGAAGAAGACGACGGCGAAACTCGTTGGGTTCTTGAGAGAAGACGAACGGGAGATTCAGGGCAGGAAGTCTTGGAGCGCGAGGTTGTCGATGGTGGCCGCATCTAGGTCACGGCAACAGGTAATGTTGCATTCCAAGGCCTTTGGGCCCACGATATTCACAGCGAGCATTGCATGCGCACATTTATTAAACTTTTTCCATTTGGCATGGCCCCCATTCCTTCACATTATTTTCTTCTTCTTCTTTCTTTCTTTCTTTTAAGCACTTCCCCATAAGCTTTTTATTACCTTGTTTTTCTTGAATATCTATAGGCAGACATATTCTCATTGGGTTGGTTCTCCATCGGGCTTCTATGAGCTCTTCATCATCTACATAATTACATTACTACACTGGGACGAGACTTGTGGGGACTTGGCGTTGTCGGCTTGGAAAATATTGGATATAATGAGGGACGTATCCTAATCATATGAATTAAAAATGTGGCAGCTTGACAGTTCATGGTGATGATGAGGGACTATGCAAAGGGAGGAAACATAGATGTATCAGAGTTGACAAGCCCGACGCTGTTCTCACGAACACTCAGCCTCAATACTGAGGTAGCATATGGGATGTTTTTCGGCTATATCATGAGCCTAGCAAGTAATGATTAATTGGCGTAAGAAACGTGAGCATTCCTCTCTTTTCCTTGAGGACAAATCTCCTCATGGCGGAACTACATCAAAATGATATGGATAAGTAAAAGCTTAGTGCTCAACGTCATGAATACATATGCGGATTGTTTACAGTGCTTTCCGCAACCATCAGGACAAGAATATGGCTTGCTATGATACTTCCAAACAACCCTATATTTGCCTTGGTTTAATGTAGTAGTTTAATCACGGTTGGAAACAAGTCAAAACATCTTCTCCGATCTTCACTTTTTATCATGTCAACTTGCTTCCAGCTTCACCATCAGAAGAAAAAAAGAGGCCGGCAAGGAGTATACTATCTCCTTACTGAGGGCACACAATCATAGACTGAAGTTCTAGGCCTTAGCCCTTGGTTTCAATTTCAGAGATATCTACCCTCTGTTTGATATCTGTAATAGAATATATCCATCCTCGCTCCTAATTCTTCTCCACCAGCTGATGACCCCACAGCATTCCTGGGAGGAGGGTCCTGGTCCATTCCGCGAGCCAGATTCTCCTGCGAACCCACCTCTTCTTGATCACAAAGTATGCCCGTGCCTTCTCTTCGTCACTTGTATTCTTCTCCTCACTTGGATTCTTGTCCTCCTCGTCTGGATCCACGCCGTTCATTAGGTCATACCAATCCCGGCAAAACATGTACATTGGCCGGCTCGCATCCCAGTCGGACTTAGGGAATGCGTTGTCCCGCTGGAAGACTGGCACCGTTTCGCCGTTGACGACAGATCTGCCGATCGGGGGTGTGATGGGGCGGTTTTCGTCCGACATTTTTGCCAACAGAGAAGATTTCAGAGATTGTTCTTGTGGGTGCTATGTGTGCGGTAAATGTGGTTTGCTTGAAAGACAGTGATTGCTTGCCTTGTTGGGAGTATGAAAGTCAAGTTGGGGAATCTCAAGATCTAGTCAGGATTGCTTGCTCAGCTGTAGATTCCCTTTTCCCTTGGTGGATTTCCGCGGCCTTAAATATTTCATACTTGAACAATGGCTACATTTTCATCTGGATGTTCCGTGATTCGAGCTGTCTGTAGACTGTAGGCACATTGCGGTAGAATAAAGAAGACTGTAGGTCAACAAGAAATGCTCATCGTAAAAGTTCGCTTTCGTCGAAGACAAAGGGGGTGAGAGTGTCAAGAGCACCTTCGCTCACAATTTATCCCATTGTCTATGGAATCGAGGACTAGTATCTCACAGGCGGCATATCACCTATAGGAGGATCCCTTTGTTCACACCTGTTCATAAACCTGACTAGTTTCGTGCCTCAGCTTTATGACCTTGAATCTTCCATGGCTCTCAACTAAGGTTTAACGGTCAGCGATTAGACTATCCTGTGTTTGACATGTTATCAATCAGACAGAGTATTCAATAGGGCCACTCCGCAACCGCCGTCTGAGAGCCGACATCTGCACAATGAAGCTTACTTTGTTTCACTACCAGTTTGACTGCATTACGACACTCAATAATCTTGTTCTTCAAGATCCATGCAGTTCCTAAATTTAGATGGAAATTGTATACTAGCTGTACATCCGTGGTTATTCTGCTATTTAGAATTGCTCAGACTTTTATCGGAATTTCCAATGTGCCAGCAGAAGGAAGTTTATGGACACAACTTGGCAACAATGCAGTTGTCCGTTGTTACTGTTATCATTTTCAACCCAAACTTAATGCATCACCTGCTATATGCTTTTCCATGAGTTACTTATTTCTTTCGTTCCCGTCCAGTATTGCAAATAATTCTAGGATGAGCGGCTTACTGTGTCAGCGGGACATGAAAGGTTGTGAAGAGTTTATGACTGTAAAAGACCAATCAAAAACAGCCACTATTGTGTGATTAACTTTCCTCTTGTAGCCCTTAAAGAAAGTTTTAATTTTCCTCCTCTCCCATTTACACTTGTAGGCAGTGAAATAATCTGAAATGAGAGGCGTGTTTTTGGAGTCAAAGTTGTCGGGTCCTCTCATCCCATTACAAGTTCAGAAAGCTTCGAGGGCACCAAGTGGGCGAAATAAAATATGGCACATCGAGATAATTCAGCATTAAATTCCAACATAATATCACAAAATTTAACCTAGTACTGAATACAATATCAAGCTAAATATCATAGAATAGTTTATTATTCTCTTATTATTGTTTTCAGTAAGAAAACGAAGTCCCTGCCTTACGCGGAAAGAGCTTTGGTGTGCTACGTTTTATTTCACCCACTTGGGCACGTTCTTCGCCTCAGTTGCGGTGAGGCTCGGTCGAGTTGGGAGGCAAGACTCCAGAGAGGATTCAACAACGTGCTTGCAGCGGTCAACGTGATTCATGGCTCACATTAGACTGCCCCTCTTTGAGGGGTTTTCTCCCTCAGGCTCCCTCGAACGGTTTTGTCTTTTAATATTGATAATTGTTATTACCCCTTGAAGAGGATCGGAGCGTTGGTCTCATTTCTCTTCTTTTTCCATGGTGGGGCCGCAATAGAGTGGCGTGTCGGAGCTGCGAACTGCGCTGAAAACCCGCTACAGCGCAAAGGTTAAGTTATTATGGCGCCGAGGCTGCACTGAACAGCGCTGTGGGACTCGGGAGACTCGAGGTCCAACCCCACCTCTGCCCCTCCGTTAATTCCCTTGGCTGGAGCGCTGGGCGTCGCTACAGGTGCTCGTGCTAGGGAAGTAGCACAGAACCCCACCACCATCAAGCCACCAGCCGCAACCCTGCTGATGGCTCCAGGGACCTATCACAGGCCAGAGATTATACCACGGGGCACCACTGTTCGCTTCTCACGAGGGCAGCGCCGCCAGGGTTGGGGGACCAAAAGACCCTTGGTCACTTGGAACATTTCCAGTTCCTACCTAGATACCGAGATAGCGGCATGATGTCAGGGCGGTGTCACGAGACAACCAGCTGTCTTGATTCGCCCAGCTTCTGGCTCTGCGTTGGTTGGTGGCAGCAACGTAGTATCCTGGAAGAGATAAACAGGGCTCCAGCAACCGAGACAGCCCACAGCTTACCGGCAGGGTGGTTGGGCTGCCTGTCCTCCATGTCATGTCCACGGCCGGGGCACGGAGTCGACGAGAGGGACTCGCTCAGTCGGGCACTTTAGTGGCTGCGCCGCCCGAAAAGCGTAAAGACTGAATGAACTGCCACGAGGGAAGGAACAAGCAACGATCGGGCCTTCTCGTTCGCTGCTCTCAGCCAGGCTTGCGCTTAGTCGCGGAAAAGCGCCGGCACCTAGTCGTAGTGGCGGGCTCAAAGCTCATTCGCATAAGCTAAGCCAAGGGAATCGCCTATGATCCTGCTTGGCGACGCCCCAGTCCAGCTCCAGAAGCAGTTAAAATGATGGCCCGCGAGACCAATCATGGCCCTTCGTTTTTTTTCTACCCGTTCTCTTTAGATAAATGACGGCACATGTTCATTCAGTTCATTGACAGCCTTGATGAACCACCCCCCCCCCCTTCCACCTCCACTGCTTGCTTCAAATAAAGACGGGAGTCCCCCCTCTTTGTTGGCGCTCACTCCTGTAGCCTCTGCTTCTCACTGCTTCCTTCTCACGAGCCCTCGTTGGCATTGCTCTCGATCCCTTCTGTCCCATGCGAAGGGTAATCCTCCTGAACCTCAATTGACAATACAGCCAGCCAGCCTCTAAAAGCGACGCCAATCTAATTGCATCGCCGTCGCAAGTCTACGCCAGATCTCTCCGACACACTTCGAGCGCTCGTCTAAACTTCAGATAGACTGCAAATATACGTAGTGGATTCGGCGCGATTCTCACTCGCGCGCGTTGACCATGGCTTCCTCGAGTGACCCTACTGCCGATTCCAAGTCCGTCAAGGCGCAAATCAAGAGCCACGATGGCAAGGACAATGGCGCCAGTGCAGGCATTGACGGGCCCCGGGATGTGAGAAATGCTGAAGACGCATCCCTCAATGGATCCGATGTGCTTGCGCTGCAGGACGTTGACCCCGCCATGAACATGAAGATGCATCTTGTGAACAACGTAAGTGGTTTGCTCGCGGCGTGACAGCCTTGTGTGTTTTGCTTTGCGTGACCCAGATGAATATGCCATCTGCCGGCTCTCTCCTCTCCCGATGCCCTTCCTCGCCGTTGCCCTGTTGCCACTGCTGACCATGATTCCTTGCTCTTCTCAAAAGGCCATTGACGAGATTGGTTGGACTCCTTACCATATGAAGCTGTTTTTCCTCAATGGTTTTGGCTATGCTGTCGACTCCATGATCACCCTCTTCCAGTCCATTGTCGCTGGCCAGTCCTTCATGGAGTTTGGTGGCGTTGGTTTCGCCAATGGACTCACAATCGCCGTGTACGTTGGAATGCTTCTCGGCGCCATTTTCTGGGGCTTTGGTGCCGACATCATCGGCCGCAAGTACGCCTTCAACTGCTCTCTCTTCATCTGCTCCATCAGCTGCATCATTGCTGGTGGCATGCCCAACTGGCCCGCGCTCGGCGTCTTCGTCGCCCTGCTTGGTTTCGGAGGCGGTGGCAACCTGGTTCTGGACACAACTGTCTTCCTCGAGTTCCTTCCCAGCCACAAGCAGTGGCTCGTAACTCTGATGGCCTGCTGGTGGGGTGTTGGACAGGCCATTGCCGGTTTCATCGCCTGGGGCTTCATGGTCCCCGAGAAGTGGAACTGCGCCGACATCGAGACATGCACCAAGGATAACAACTGGGGCTGGCGCTACGTGCTGTTCACCGGTGGCTCCATTGTGTTCGTCTTGTCCATCCTCCGTATCACCATTGTGCGCCTCATGGAGACGCCCAAGTACCTCCTTGGCATGGGCAAGGATGCCGAAGTTGTTGAGACTCTACAGCACATCGCCACAAAGTACAACAAGCCCTGCTCTCTCACCCTTGAGCAGCTCGAGGCTTGTGGTACCACCACCTCGGCACACAGCAAGAGCAAGTACTCAGTTGGCGAGCTGATGATTCACATGCGTGGCCTCTTCAGCACCAAGAAGATGACGCTGTCCACCCTCCTGATCTGGCTCTCCTGGACACTCATCGGATTGGCCTATCCCCTGTATCTGGTCTTCCTTCCGTAAGTGTTTGCGCTATGTACTTTGACCAGCCTCGACCCAACCTCTAACATGGATTTCAATACAGACAATATCTCAAGAATCGAGGCACCTCGTTCGAGCGTACTCCCTACGAGAACTGGCGCAACTATGCCCTGAACAACACCAGTAGTATCTTTGGTCCTCTCGCCGGAGCTTTCATGTGCAACACCAAACTCCTCGGTCGCAAGTACACAATGGCCATCGGCTCCCTGATGACCATGGCTTTCTTCTTTGCCTATACCGCTGTGAGGACTAACGCTCAGGACATTGCTTTCAACTGTTTGATCTCATTCTGTCTCAACATCTACTACGGTACTCTGTATGCGTACACCCCAGAGGTTCTTCCTAGTGCCCATCGTGCTACTGGCAACGGCATCTCCGTCTCATTCAACAGAATCATGGGTATCATCTCTGCCATTGTGGCTGCCAAGGCTGATACCTCGACGGACGCACCCCTTTACATCTGCGCCTCACTCTACATTGTCGCCGCCATTGTTGCAGTGCTGTTCCCCTATGAGCCATATGGCAGGAGAAGCTCGTAAATGTGCAAACTCGGCACACAACACTAGAAAGACGTCGAACGAGCGCTTCAACAGCCAGGTTCTCGCATTAATTCATGCAATATAAGCATATCTAAAGGAGTTGAGTTGAAAACATGTTTTCTATTCTCTGTAATAGATGTAGATTAAATGATACCCCTCAAGTTTGGAGAAAAGGAAAAGAGAGATAATCATGGATAATGAAAAAAATATAACATGTGAAACAATATAAGCTATTCGTAACAATATAAGCTGTGCAACATGGTGACGATCATCAGCGAAAACCCGAAGAAGCCCTTTTCCAAGCACATCGATGAATCCAGCCTGCGATCATTCAAGAACCCTCTCGCTTAATGGCGTCTCTGATCCTATTATTCTTTCGAGCCTTAGGCTGCGCTGCCTGGGCTGACTCCTGAAAGCAAGGCCCCTGATCGATCGCAGGCTGGATTGATTGATGTGCTTGGGAAAAGCCATCTACAGGTTTTCGCTGATGATCGCCACCATGCTTCCTAGGACCCGGTCATTTGCTGTGACCTGGCCCTGGCTAGAAGGGATGATATCATATGACACTGACGTTGTCGCTTAGAGCGGTGATTGTGGTAGGTGAATGAGGTTCTCTCTTGGGGGGCATAGCCAGATTATATACCTGTTGACCTCTGACTAGCCCTTGTTAAAGTTTTGGAAGTGCTGGTGCCTGTGCCTAGGCTACGTGTGATTGTCAATGTTTTCCAGTGTTGAAGGTTCGTGTATAGACTGTAGTTTAGTTTCACAGAGAAGTGTAATAGAGCTATGCAGCCCGATCTTGAGATACCCCCTTCCTTACAGTGAAAAAAAAAACAGATGAGTGAATAAGCCATCAACACCAAACTATGAGTTAGCCAAACACTGGGGTACTCTTGGTCGGAGCAGCAGGAACAAGTCAAATAATGTCATATATTGCACGCTATACAATGAAAAAGCTCCAGCGTCGTCTCAGTACAATGCCCATCCTCCACTGGCAGAGATACACTGTCCAGTCACCCACCTGCTCTCCTCCGACGCCAACCATGCCACGATCTGCGCGACGTCGTCCACCGTCCCGAGCCGGTTCTGCACCGGCGTGTTCGCCAGCTGCATCTCGATGATCTCCCGGGGTATGTTGTCCAGCATCTCGCTCTGCACCGGGCCCGGGTTGACAGCGTTCACCGTGTGGCCCTCCCCGCCCAGCTCAGCCGCCCAGCAGCGCGTCATGCCCTCGAGGGCCGCCTTGGAGGAGCAGTAGAGGGAGAGGCTCTTCATGCCCGAACGGCTGCCCACCGACGAGATGTTGATGACGCGGCCGCCGCCGGGGCGCAGGTGCGGCCTCGCGGCCTGGAGGAGCAGGAGAGGCGCGCGGACGTTGAGGTGGTAGACGAAGTCGAAGTCGTCGGTGGTGATGTCCTCGAGGGGCTTGACGACCTCGGCGCCGGCGTTGTTGACGAGGATGTCGACGGCGTGGCCGAAGGCCTCGAGCGAGGCCTGGACGATCTGGGCGGCGCTGGAGGGGGAGCGCAGGTCGGCCCTGACGTGGATGCACTCTGAGCCGTTGCCCAGGGCTGCGATCTTGTCGGCGAGGGCGGTCACTTGCTGGTCGCTCTTGGGGGATGTGTAAGTTGCGACGATCTATGTGAGTGATTAGTTATCGTACGTCAATTCAGGATATTTAGCATTCAGCTGGATCGGACTGTTCGCTCCTCTTGCACCCATGTGAGGAATCCTGCTGCTCACCTTGGCTCCTCTCTTGGCTAACTCATAAGCGAAGCCCTCACCAAGGCCCCGTGAGGCGCCCGTGACTATGGCGACTTTGCCCTTCAACGTCTGAGGGATCTCTGTCTTGGATGTGGCCATTATATAATATTTGAAAATTTGGATGAGTAGAGGAAAAGTGTGACGATTCAATTGAATCTCTGGCTTGAAGCTTAAATAGACGAAGTCGTATCAAAAGAGCGATTGACTGCTCGGATTATTTTACCTCATTCACGTCATATCAGATCAAGACTTTGCCCGCGCGCGCGGTTGCTCCACTCTTTGGCCGCAGATCCATGAATTCTTCACTTCTTAAGTCCATTGACTCCGGTCCGTATCTTCGTGATAAGCCTCATTATCTCCGTTGTGGTACGATGATGGTAGCTGGTCATTCAAGCCCCGTTTGCCAATCCTAAACACAAACCGAAGTGTGAGTGTTTCAAGCGCCCAGAGATCATCACAAGGGTTTGGGGCCATCGCTGCTTACTCCGAAGTGAGCTGGCGAGCTGGATAGCTTATTTCCATAAGGCTCCCAGATCGATCGGGTGCGCTTCCGACAGATACAACGACAAGGGTTCCCTTCATCCAAAATCAGAAAGAAATGAGCAGCAGACAGGATGAGTGAGAGGATATGAGATGACTAATGTAATCAATTGAGAGTAAACCTACGTATACAACAACTTATAACATCGTCGCTTCTTGCGTAGGAGAAAGAAAATAAAATTTCAACAGCAATGAAAGCCGCCAGGGCCCGACAACTCAACTCAATGAATAAGAATGAAAATATAGCCTTTCCTAGCCCGCCCAAGGCGTAGTCATACGGCAGGGGAAATTCTATGAGCCTTTATACGGATATGACTCACTTGCCGGGAGGACAGCGGCTCGTCGAATGGCTATTAAAGATGCCCTCTTTCACCTGGCCTCTCTCACCTGGCCTCACACTCGTCTGACACGAAGAGAGCAAGGGGTTAGAGGAGATAGCATTAATAGAAATGCTTTTAAGCTTTAAAAGAACAGTGGAAGTTTAGAAACACAGTTGAGCATCTATTCTTACATGCAAATATCACCGGCATTATGAACGAGGAGGTAAGTACAAGTCTTACACACAAGAAAAGAAAAGAAAAGCAGCGCTTCGCTTGTCTGAGGGTGGTTACTGAGATGCAAAATAGGACCATAGCGGCGAGATAGAGAGAGCCGTCTTCCTGAAACTACTAGAAGACGAGCAGTTCTCCGTGGTTGAGGCAGTGCAACAGATCACTGCGCAAACCTATACAGCCGCAGCTTCCCAAAACACTGACGCATTAGGATTACACACCTATCATGTCGCCTGCTATATTCTCGATTTTGCTACAGAGGTGGTACGCCATGATCAACAGTCCCGGCTTCTTGAGTTTATCCGCCTTCTCAAGCAACAGGTAATGCCCGACCCAAAGCAGGGTGGCATGTTGAGAGTGGACAATTATAAAGTCTGGTCTGACATGCCCAGCATGATGATACTGATACGCGAGTTCTACCACAAAAGTGGTGGGTTGAGCATACCCTACGTTGGGCGATAGCATAGAAGCGGCTGACTTTGCGTTTAGCACCATATGAAGAAAATAATACGCCTGAACACGATTACGAGTACGAGAATGTCATGGCATTTCTTGCTCAGATGACTGAGAATGGCCTCTTCAAACCCGTGGAGGGTATATCGTGGTCTATGCCTAGCCTTATAGATGTTTTTCACCCTGATGCAGCTCCGATTTTGCGGCGGGCGGAGATCCGGTGCGTATGCATGTGGATGGTATATGCTCCCAACCAAGTCCGAAAGAGTGCCTTGCTTCCCTATCGGTATGATGAGGAGAGAGGATTTGAGCCTGGGGACTGGGAGAAGTGGAGGGCGCTCCTGCAGAAGTACCTGGATATATTCTTGGATGAGGATACCCAGAACTTAATCCATACTGCTCTTTATAGCATGGAAATAGCCGATCAAGTAACCCTATAGTAGATATAGTAGTTTTAATCTGAAATCAGTAAGAAACGAGCAGCAACAAGATGAGCAAGAGAGTGTATGAGATGACTAATCATTTTCGAGTAGACCCTGGCTTCTCGGACATCATCGAGTCAAACTAAGAGAGCAACCTACACACCATCTTTTTATCTCATCAAGTTATACATGTTTGATGAAGCGGCGGTCGCAAAATGGCATCGATAGTACCTCGCCAGTCGATCTGCCGAAGATGTCTTCGGCTAGCCAGGCCGCCAAAGAGCTGCCAAACCCGCAACCACACATCATCATCGGGTCCTCGGGAACAGACAGTAGGAAAATCGCAAGATGAGAAAAAAGACATCTCACAACCTTCGGAATCTCCTTCAAAGGATCCCAAATCCTCCTCCTCTTCCTCTTCAGAGCCGGGCGCCATGACACGCCGCCTACAGGAAGCCACCGAAGATGCTCTCCTCACGGGCGGCCGCACCAGCCAGAAACTGGTAGAGGACGCCGGGTTCTCGGAGGAGCTCAAGGAGAAGCTCTTCAACAAGGTCAAGGAGGCCCAGTTCAGGAAACAGTTCTCGTCGGCATTCGCGGAGGCAGGCATCTCGTCATCGTCGTCGGCCGTGGGCGAAGGCACCCAGCACATCGCCACGGCAGCCCCCTGGACCGGCAAGGAGACGACGCACGACGCAGTCCTCCGCATGCTGGACGACTCGAGGAAGCCGCTCAGGCCCGAGCTCCGGGGCAAGTTCCGGACCCCGGTGCCCGTCGACATGCGCATCAAGAGGGACCCCGCGATGAGCGCCTCGCAGCGCGTGGCCAGCGCGCGCGACAAGGCGAGCGCCTACGCCGGGGCCGAAGCCAAGGCCGCCTCCGCCTCCGCCGCGCCGGGCAGCAAGGGCCTCACGCCGGAGGAGAGGGAGGAGCTCAGGCGGGAGTTCAGGGAGCGGTTCCAGCCCGGCGCGCGGGCGATGCCCAACTCCATCACGGGGCTCGCGGCGCTGGCCAACGAGCGCATCGAGGACGCCATCGCGAGGGGCCAGTTCAAGGACATACCCCGCGGCAAGGGCGTGGAGCGGGACGCGAGGGCGGACAACCCCTTCATCGACACGACCGAGTACATCATGAACAAGATGATCCAGCGGCAGGACATCGTGCCCCCCTGGATCGAGAAGCAGCAGGACCTCGCCAAGGCGGCGCACACCTTTCGTACGAGGCTGCGCAACGACTGGAAGCGCCATGCGGCCAGGATGATCGCATCCAAGGGCGGCTCGCTGCTGGAGCAGATGCAGCGGGCCGAGGACTACGCGCAGGCGGAGAGGAGGCACAACCCGCGCTTCCGCAAGGTGGAGGAGACTACTATCCCCCCTGGGTTAACTGAGGACCCCGTCATGGTTGAGGTGAGAAAACCGCCGAAATCAGCAACAGCAGCATCAGGCTCTGCAGATGATGCACCGGAGCCGCCGTCGGCTGGGCTTGAGGATAAGAAGCCGCGGCCGTTGCTGCCGCCGTTCAGGGACCCCGACTGGGAAGCTGCCGAGCGAACTTATATGGAGTTGTCCATTGATAATCTCAACAGCATTACACGGACCTACAACTTGATGGCGCCTGACCTCGCGAAGAAACCGTACTTTTCCCTGCAGAGGGAGCTCTTGGGCGCCTTTGCAGAGGTGGCGCCACAGCTGGCAAACGAGATTAAAGAGAGGACCACACGGGTGAAATCCCCCGGTCTAAGCGGTGGACGACATCAGACAGCAGCGGCGAGCATATTTGACAATTTCGGTGGTGGCAGTAGTCCCCGCATTCGTCTCGAAGCCGAGGAGAAGGCATACGGCCTCAAAGATTGGTGGAGAGATGTGTGGAAAAAATAATAAACGCCTTTGGGGACGACTCTAGGCTCGCTGTAAACCAAAATAAAGTAACGCCAAAAGTTAGGTACAGAATAGTGTAATGTGCCCTCCAACCCAGAACTCCATGCGCTCCCTATCGTCTCTCCCCCATGGTGGTATCATATCATTTATCATTAAAATAGGGGGTAAAGGTTGGGTTTCTTCCTTCAAAAGCCAGTGTCTAGCTCTGTATCTCGCCCGACCAGGACTTGCAGTCGACTCTCGTTGCCCGTCCTACTGCTAAGCCAATACCACTGTTGGCTCCAAACATGGCGTCCGATGCGCCAGAATCCGTGCACAAGTTGAAGTCAACCTGGGTGTCCCACGAGTTGAGGTCACTAAGGCTCGTTTGGCGGCAAACGCTGCCAGTAGTTGCTGGGCAGAGGTCGTTGACAATAACAGTGATGTTGTTTTTCAGTTCGTTGCCAGAAGCATCTCGGAATGTCTCGAGAAACCAGCAGGTGCCGCATGCTGGGCCCTTGCCCTTACCGGGGCCAGTGCCGTACAAATTTTGAGATACGCCGGCAGCATAACCAGGCTGGTAGAAAATGAATTGTCAGCATACTTCATTATCCTTCAACATCACATTGAGAGAGTGGTGCGAATTACCTTGCTGTAAAAGCCACAACCATTCAGGGCCACGTTGCAGTTGCTACCACCAGTTCCGTCGTTTGTCCCGTATCGCGTGAAGCTTGCATTGAACGACCTTCCAATATCAAAAGCAGATGCTTCGGGGATCGCAACACTTTCGAGCGTCTTGGTAGCCGGTGATACCGAGGCCGTGGTTGTAACGCTGCCAGTCTGTATCGTTGTTACAGTCATCGAGCTTGCTGTTGCTAACGCTCCTGATGATGTAGTTGCTGCTCCGTCTGCGCCGCTGCTGTTGCCATTGTTGCCCCCATTCGCAGCCCTTGAACCTAGGACTGCTCCGAGAATCACGGCGAGAATGATAAGGATGCCGCCGATGACTAGTAAAATCCGAACATTCCAACTTTTCTTCCAGTCCTTGCTAGGCGTGGGCGGTAATGGTGCTTCGTCTCGTCCCACCACGATCTTTCCCTCGCCATCTCCTCCGCGGGGAGCGTAGTAGCCGCCACCAGCAAACTTGGCAGGCTTGTGAGAGACTTCCAAGTCTTCTGAAGGCTTGACCTCTGGGAAGTCCTCGGAGCGATAGTATGAAGTTGGCGGCGGGTCCCGGTTGATTGGCGTGCCTAGATAGTGCGCGTCCGGGGAGGCATAGACCTCTTTGAGAGTGTCCTGGTCATGAAATGGCGATGTGCCGAGTGTATCCGCTTGTGACACAGACGAAGGGGAGACGGGATGCATGGCGGCCGACTATTAGTTCCTGTCTGTCGTACTGGCGTCAAGTATATTCAACTCTTCCTTTCGTTTTCGATATCCAGGGGAAATCAGATTCAGAGCTTCCACGCGATTGAAACTACTGACAGCTTGGGATCGGCATACATGTAGGAGAGAAAACACGAACCCCAATGTATAAGTAAGGCGAAGTGGAAAGGAAAGCTGGGCACGACGTCCAAAAGTAGAGCCTGAGACAAACCAAGGAGGGAAGCCAGGCCAGGGGGGTGGTGTCAAGGTCAAGGTGGGGGAGAGGAGCGGGCTAGAGCGTGGGAGGAATCCTTCCTGGCCTCGGAATTGCGGCGATCAGCTACCAATCGTGGGAGATGAAGGTCACAGCTGAAGTCGAATGGTTTGAAGCTTGTCACAGATTGGTCCTTGGGCCTCAGCCTTTGGCCCATGTCTCATGGGCTATATCATGGCGATGTTGCATTTGCTAGTCTAGGAGGTTTCAGCACCAAGAAGAAGATGCTGTAGTCACGGCAAGGCTACAGCTACACGGACGGCGAGAAACAGGCCACGAGCTAGCGAGGCACGATCGCTTTGCCAGTTCAGCTCGGCTGGAGAACTCCGTAGTAGCGCAGTTCACATGCAGCTCGAATATCCTTTGCTGGTTTGAGATGGGCCCATGTAGGGGGGCCCAGCTGGCGGCACCGAGCTGGGTGTCGACCGAGCAAAGTGGACCGGGTAGGATGCAAATCATGCTCGCTTGGTCCCTTGGATTGGCTCAGGCGCTTAATTGAACAAGTGAGGGGAGCCGAATGGCTTCGTTGTAGACATATTCACTCGTGCGGATGTCCGGCAAGCCCATCTTGGGGACAATGGATCGTGTAGGTGAAGGCACACGAGGCAAGAACGTACCTGCCTCGGGCAACATGCCAAATGCGCCCAAAGAACATGTTTCTCCTGCCAAGGAAAGCACTATCAATCGATGGTAGCAATAAAGAGGGAAGACGGCCAAATCCCTGTGGAGCCTGGATCCCAAAATAGCTGAGCCATTCATTTCCTGCAGCCGGTACGGGCACTTCTGTAGAGCCGAGCAGCTGCCTGTCAATTGTTATCGGCCAGCCGGCCAGGAGAATCAAGTGACAGTTTGAGAAGGACTCGCGCTCGGTTAGGTAGGTAATTTGTGGCAGCAAATAATGGGGGGTGGAGGATTCAGCAGATGAATACGGCAGTGGCCGAAGGAGTGGTCAAAATACGAGAAAATTGGCCCGACAAGCCTAGTCGCCGATCTGAAACACAAGTACATCATGGATGTCTAATCGAGGATAAAAACAGCAGATAGCGACACCACCAGGACCATCGCCTCACACCTTCAGCCCAAATTGCCAGTCGTTTCTGCGCCAATCAGCCTCTGCCCACTGTAACCCGGCAGCCGATCTGGCCCAAAGGTCACGGCAAACCTGGCAGCGGGAGGCTTCCGGCCCAGACGTTTAATGGGGAAGGTCCTCGTCCATGGACGTCCATGGAGCCTATTTATTTCATACACAGCACAGAGCACAGACTGCCAGCTGCCGGCTTCTCGGGTCCGTGGGCATCAAGACCTTCTATTCAGGGCTAGAATCCCACTAATTTACTGTACGCGCATAATGGTCTAGAAGGGGGAACCGGATAGCAGACCTAATTACTTAAACAAATGGTTCGATGGATATACGTGATTACCTTATATTTCAAGGATCTCTTTCATCTCAGCAGCGCTCGTGTCTACTAAGGTAGGGTGGGGAGCAGCCGAAGAACACCGTGCAGCTTGGCCTACCCTGTACCGGTCCATAACGGCCGGCCGATTACTCCGCTTTTCCCCCGACCATCGGATAAATATTCGAGGCCAGACGCCACCAGGCCAGAGATAACCTACAGATTGAGTTTTTGTCTTTTGTTCAATCTCTAGGGAGCATGTATTATTCGAACGTTTCCATTTTGGCTACTACTATCCAAGACGATGCCTATCAATACCAGCCTCCTCCTATCGTGTGCTGATCTCTGTGGCACTTGGCCCAGGTTAGCAGGTACTGTCTTGGTGCTGGGCCACTATCCCGAAGCGGTTGGCCTAGTCAGGGTCGAGCAGCCTAACGACGAACTTGTCCTGCCATGCGCCTGTCAGAAGCACATTCATCTGCCGACGGACCTGCCGACAGACCGTTAAAACTTCGAGGAACTTGGCGGCAGTCTTCTAGCACCGGCTTCTACCTACCTTAAATACTCGAGTATCGCCTCTTCGCTCCCCGCACAGCGTTGCATCTTGTCGTTGCTCGGCTGTTCTGTCATCGAGCGGCTCAAGCTCGCAACCAAACACCCCAGTACATCCATCAGCAGTGGTACTCATCCCATCATGACATGGGGACGGGATTGGCAGGCCATTGGCCATTGGCATGCATCACATTGGACCACCACATGATGCTTCTCGCAGCGTAGACAGTAGCAATGGAGTGACATGCAGCCAGTCCCTCGACAGCCCAGTCCCCGGATTCACACCATTCCATCCAATTCACCTCAATTCAAGCCAATCCCCAGGTGGAACCTGTGCTGGCCTGTCCTCGTCCTTGCGGGGTGAATGATTGCAACCCCATACAGTTCCCCTCCTCCGCATTTCCCTCTTGAAGTCCCGTTTTTACCAATCCTGTCCCAATTTTATTTTTTCCCAGTGAATTTTTCTCTCCCACTCCCTCATCCTCTCGCTTTCCGAGACAATTGAGCACGCGACATTCCATCTGCGTACCTCCTTACGTCTTCCGTAATATTTGGTGGCTCCCATTGTGATACATCGCACCCGCCACTCAGTCGCCGACGCCCGGTTCGTGCGCTAGAAATGTCGGAAAAAGCAAATCTGGCCAGCGGCGTCGACTTGGCGCCCGCTGATGCCACCCCCAACATCACCGCCGCCTCTGACCATGACCACCATGAGACATCCAAAACGCATGAGCATGTTGTCCAAGGCGCCCGTGCCGCTGCCGAGAAGGAGCACTCCATGACCCTGCTGCAGGGCGTCAAGCTCTACCCAAAGGCCATCTTCTTTAGCGTCCTCATCTCGACCTGCATCGTGATGGAGGGTTACGACGTCTGTCTGATAAACAACTTCTGTATGCTGCCCTACTATCCCATGCTTTTTAAATTCCCGATGCTTGAGCCCTCTGATCATTTCTGTCTGGCACATGTAATATCAACGGATCAAGACTGAAAGACACGCTGATCCTACACACCTGAGACCCCCACCCACACTCAGACAATGTACATGCATATACATGCACACATGTGCGCAGTCTGATATGATTGGAGACTAACAATGCATCCACATTTTTACAGACGCCTTCTCTCAGTTCAATCGCAAGTACGGAGTTCAGCTCGCAGATGGTTCCTGGGAAATCCCAGCTGCATGGCAAGCCGGACTGAGCAACGTGAGTCAATGATATCTAATGATATAGCACAACTTGACTCCCGTGCTTTCTTTTCCCCTTATCTCGAGAATCCGAATTGCTGAAACCTCACTTGCGGATATATAGGGTGCATACTGTGGTGAAATCATCGGTCTATTCATCAATGGCTACGTCTCCGAGCGATTTGGGTATCGCTACACCCTTCTCGCCTGCTTAGTCTGGCTCTCTGGTTTCATCACCCTCTTCTTCGTG